TCTGATGCTGCTCGGCCTGCTGTGTCATCCAGCTCCACACCTTGTTATCTCTGAATGGCGTGTTCCCGGTTTGTATGTATGTGCTTATTTAAATAGCCTCTACTCTGAGTGGAGGCAGTCAGACTTATTTCAAAGCACTCGCTCCAATGTGCCATTGTTTCATCTTCCTCTGTTTCTGCTGTTTCATGGGGGATAGTAGTCTGGCTTGTTACTGGCTGCTCCAACAGTTCACTCCCAAGACAGCACAGACTGCACTCTGGCCCTGAGGTTTGCTGACAGCAAATAACTGCTTTCATCCACATAATGGCCAGTGGCCACTTTGGACACATCTTGTAGCCTTAAACAAGGCTTTCTAAATTGCACAGAAATTGGCCACTTGACCCAAATGGTTTATTTCAGTGTCTGCTCCACATGACTCTCCTTGCACATACTTCATCTCACACTATCAGCATTCCCTTGTGTTCCTTTCTCCCTCATTTATTTATCCAGCTTCTTCTTAATGCATTCACACTATTCATCTCAAGATCCTTAGAAAGCACCTTCAAAACCCATAACCACTTCCATCTAGAAGGACAAGAGCAGCAGATACATGGGAATGCCACTCCCTGCAAGTTTTGCTTCAAGCCACTCACCATCCTGACCTAGAAATATATTGTTGCTTCAGTGACACTGGGTCAAAATCCTGGAATTCCCTCTTTAAGGGCATTGTGAGTCAACCCACAGCACAGGGACCACCACCTTCTCAAAGGCAACTAGGGCTAGGGAATAAATGCTGGCCTAGCCAGTGTTACCCATGCTCCATGAATGATTTTTTTAAAAAAAACTCCATTTGTAAGAGTGGAGCACCTTCTCTCCATACTCTGGGTGAAGAGGTTTTTTCCTGAATTCCCCATTGGATATAATTGAAACCAACTTAAACTTATGACCTAAAATAAAAGTGAAATACTGCAGATGCTGGAAATCTGAAATCAAAAGAACAAAATGTTGGAAAAGCTGAGCAGTTCTGGAGTTCTAAAGAAGTCGTTTGGACTCTTAAGCATTAACTCTGGCTTTCTCCTCATAGATGCTGGCAGCTTATTCAACATTTTTTGTTTCGTTTCAGATTTACAGCCCCTGGTTTTGGCTTCCTGTCAAATGAAAACATTTGTATATCTGCTCTTATCAAGTTCATTTCATAATTTTAAAGATCTCTATGTGCCAACACCTTGAACTCCCTTTCCTAGAGATAATAGCAGTTGCCTGTTCAGCGTTTCCCAATATTTGTCAACCTGTATAAAAGTTGTAAAGAAGACACTTCTCCTGCTTACTATATTGAGTGCTGAAACAGAATCTGTCAGCAAATAATGGAACAACACAGGTTCTGAACTCACCACCACCTCTTTGGTAATTGGGAATATGTGATGGTGTATGGTAAGTCTAAAGGTGCAGTCAACAATATCTTTTAGAAATCAGCTCTATGAAGTATGGACATGACACAAAAACATGCCAGAGAGAATCACATGATGAGCTAAACCTGAAAAGGCAACATTCGCTGACTGTTCAATGTATCAGATAACTGGTGGAAGATGTCACAGTTTTTCTTCTTCAGTGTATCCCAAATTACAACTCATTTACTTCCAGTCTTCTAGCTCTTTCACTGCGTCTTGTGTGTGCAAGGCATACCTTTGAGCTGTAATTTACAGTAGAAAGCCTGATGAATTTGCCATCTTTGAAGCCAGCAGTTAACTGGGCCCCTTATGCAGCAAGTCCTCATTTAAAGCCGCCTACTTAAACATCATTTTGTTTTAATGTCAGTGAGTTAATGGGCCTGTTGTATCTTTGAGCTTTGCAAGATTAATTTTAATGTATCCCTTAACCCCTCCCTGTGCCTGAACTTCCCTGACTTTTATCTTCTTACCATTTTGATCTGATGCCAGAAGTTCAATTTGAACAGAGGGTCTGGAGATGAGCAGTGCTGAAGAGAGGCAGCTGAGTGAAGAAAGAAAGTCTGATTCAATGGGTTTGCACTTCTTTGTGAGTGAGGCATTAAGATGTGTTTGGTCATTTTCCATATAAATCCATAAGATATCGGAGCAGAATTAGGCCATTCAGTAATGGCTGGTACATTTCTCAACCACATTCTCCTGCCTTTTCCCTGTAACCCTCGATCCACTTGCTAATCAAGAACCTATTATCTCTGTCTTAAACACACTCAATGACTTGACCTCCTCCTGTGGCAATAAGTTCCACAGATTCACCACCCTCTGGCTGAAGAAATTCCTCCTTAGTTCTAACAAAAACAAAGTTGCTGGAAAAGCTCAGCAGGTCTGGCAGCATCTGTGAGGGAAAAAACAGTTAATGTTTCAGGTCCAGTGACCCTTCCTCAGGGTTTCCTTCTTCCTTCACAGATGCTGCCAGACCTGCTGAGCTTTTCCAGCAACTTTGTTTTTGTCCATGATTTATAGCATCCGCAGTTCTTTCAGTTTTTACCTCTTCAGTTCTAAACGGTCGTCCCTTCGCTCTGAGACTGTACCCTCGGGTCCTAGTCTCTCCTACTGGTAGAAATATCTTCTCTACAACCACTCAATCCAAGTCTCTCTGTATGCCACAAGTTTATCCTTTTAAATTCTGAGTACAGACCCAGCGTCCTCAACTGCTCCTCATATGACAAGCCCTTCATAATTATTGTAAACCTGCCTTAAAAATATTTGAAGATTCTGCACCCACTGCCTTTTGAGGAAGGGAATTCCAAAGACTCTGAACCTTCTGAGGGGAAAAACAAATCCCCATCTCTGTCTTAAATGGATAAACCCTTATTTTTAAACCAAGACCCCCCGTAGTCCTAGATTCTCACACCAAGGGGGGACATCCTTTCCATATTCATCCAGTCAAGTCCTGTTAGGATCTTTTATGTTTCAATTAAGCCATCTCTGACTCTTCTACACTCCACAGAATATAAGCGTGGTCTGCCTAGCCTTTCGTCATAAGGCAATCCATTCATTCCAGGTAAGTAATCTAGTAAACCTCTGAACTGCTTCCAACACATTAGCAGCAACCTGTAACTATAGTGAATAGTACTTTACACAGTTCTCTAGATGCAGTCTTATCAATGCCCTGTATGGCCTGATGAGCGCATAAAGATATCACTATACTGTTGCAATTCTCAATGTACCAGAAGGTCCTCATTTAAAGTTGTGGGTGCATTCATGAAAATCACAACTTTAAGTGATTCATGATTTCCCACAGAAATCAATGTTGAAGCCAGTATTAGGTACAGCAAGAATGTGCTTTTCAGAATAAATCATTAGGATATTACAACTTATCTGTTCAAATACGTTAAATAGCTAAATTCCTAACCTGCTAAATCAAATAACCTTTAAAATTAAAAAAAAGAAAACTAACCATCCACTTCCTATAGAGATACCTCCCACTCGTACTTACACAAATCTGAGCACCAGGGAGAAATTTCAACTTTTGAATGTGGGAGAATGGTAGATTAACAAGGTGAACATTGGAATAGTTAGAGCTAGAGGTAACAAAAGTGTGGAGAAGGGTTTCAGCAGACGGGCAGAGACTGGCAATGTTATAAATGCAGAACTAGATACAGAATGCATGGAGTTAGAAGCTCAGTTCTGGACCAACTAGGATCCCAAAGCTATAAACAGTCTGATTCAGTCTCAGACAGTGGCCAGGGAGGGGGCTGGAATAGAGGGTTCAGAAATGAGGAATGAAAGACAGTGGCTTCAGTCTTCCTAATGATATTTCTGCTCACCCAAATTGTGATCTTCCCTTACACAACTTTAAGGATCACTATGAGGCCAACTCTTAATCCTTTTCTCCATTGAAATGAGCCCAGTCTGTTCAAACTGACATGAAAGTTAAACCCTGGTTTCTAATTGATTCCAATGTTTCACTTCAATCTGGGCGTACATTCTATGTATTAATCAACTTGTATCTGAGGAGGAATGTTACTTTTTACCATTTTGTCCCAGTGCTGTCCTGCGTGTTTAACTTACAAGACAATTTGAATAAATTTTTCTGGTGTCTGTCTCCCACTCTATTTGCTGTCTCGCATATCTTGACAGAAAACCATTTGTCAGACCTCCCTCAGCCACGTATTACTTGGGTCTGCACTGATTTTTCTGGTACACTTATTCTTGTGTTCTCTGCCCAGGTTAATCCACAGCACCACAACCTCCATCACAGGCAGATTCAGGAGGCTGGTCCCACATTCGCCCAGGTGAATGGGGGTCAAAATTGGTGCTGTTGGCACAAATCTAATCCATACCAACCACCTTACCCACAACAGCTGTGGCAACATCTGCTTTTGATGCCTGTTGTAAGCTGGAGCTATGGATGATGATGGTAGAGGCTCTAATTTCATCCTATCACATGGTTGGCCAGGAATTTATCCCACTCTATTTTCTCCTTCACAGATGCTGCCAGACCTGCTGACCTTTTCCAGCAACTTTGTTTTTGTTCCTGATTTATCCCACTCTTCCTGATTGCTTTTGGCGCACCTTCCTGGACCATCGAAACCAGGAGTGGGACTTGAACCCTGAGCTTCTGGCTGAAAGACTTGTATCCAACCCACAGCATCATAAGATCTCCTCATTGTGCTGCTAAGAAAGCCAAAATATTTGCTTGTTTGCATTTTGACATTACCATTACATAGCCACTCAGATTAGATACACAGAGAATGTGATGATTTTCTACAAGTTTCATTGCTTTCTGGACAAAACCTCCAGGGGGAGCAAACTGTTTGAAACATGTTCTTGAAGGGAGCATGCTGTTTACCGAACATCAGTTTGTTGGCCATGTGTTATTGAGGTGACCTTGAAAGAAGCCAGCCTTATCTTCTGATGAAACAACTGTCTACACATGTTAAATAATAACTCATTAAGATATACCTGTCAACTAAAGTAAACAGACCAACCTTGATGGAATTTAGCTGCAAGTTATAGGTATATATGTGGGCAGCTTGGATCGTGGTGAGTTTGGAGTTCAAGATGGCTAGCTGGCTGTTTCTGTGCCTTGTGCTCAGCAGTTGTTTCCTCGGTGCCACAGCAAGAGCCACGGTGAGATATGGCACACACTCCACTATTCAGTGATTTCGGGGGTGGATCAGTTGGTGCATTGTCCTTTCCCTAAATTGACTTTAGTTTCAACTCAGAGCAATGGATGAAACTCCTCCGGTAACTAAAGATGTATTGTCAAGGGTGTGCGGAAGCTTCAGTCTAATTATAAATCCACACGACCTGGGGTCAGCACAAATTCGCATTACAGGAAGGCACAGTGAATAGTTGGAAAATCTCCATGCCATCATTGCTACTGTAGGGAGTTTCTTCTGTGTGTTCCAGCATGTTCAGACACATTAGAGGCAGCTTCCCTATGGATCATAGGTATAAGGAAATCCCATTATGAAGACAAATTGGAGAAGTTGGGACTGTTCTCCTCAAAGGGAAGATTGAGAAGAGATATCAGAGATGAGCTCAAAATCATGAGATGTCTGGACAGAGTTAAGAGGGAGAAACTGTTCACAGAGGGTTAAGGAACTGAGAGAACAGATTTAAAGAAATTGGCAAAATAAATAATGGTGACATGAGGAGAAAGGTATTTTTCAGGTGATTAGAAGCTGGGACACACTGCATGACAGTGTGGTAGAGGTACTTTTAATGAAGGAATTAACAATAGAATTGGATAATATGAAAAGGAAAATGTGCAGGACAATAGGGACAAAGGCAGGTGAGTGGCACTAGGTAAATTTCTTCAGTAAACACCCAGCACAGACACATGCTGTACCTGTCCTCGGAGTGTCTGATGATCTAACCCTGTGCTGTCCCTGTCCTGGGATGTTTGATGGGGACAGTGTGCAGGGAGCTTTCCTCTGTATGTAATGCCATGTTGTTCCTGTCTGGTTAAATCTCTCCTTCACTGATATTCTTTTTCCCGATTTTCTCTCCCTCTCTTCACTGATTAACTCTCGTTTTGTCTCCTTCCCTGTAGCTGGGGGTGGTGGAAACTGAAGGTGGCCGTGTGGAAGGAATCAATAAAAGGGATGGGCTTTTCGCCTCAGTGGATATTTTTAAAGGGATTCCTTTCGCTGCAAAACCAGAGCGATTTGTAAAAGCTGCACCTCATCCCGGATGGACCGGTAACTCATTTCCTTGTTTGCCTTTTACTTCATGTGAAAAAAAAACAGATGGATAATACTCTGAAGTGCCTGATTGTAGCAGGGTAGGGAGTTGCTGAGTACAGGCCAGGGAACTTAGAAAACCAGAATTACCCTGAATGCTTTTAAACCCAACTGACTGAATTGTAACTCAGTTTGGCAGAACTTTCACTCAGTCCAAGTCCCACTCTAGAGACCTGAACACAAAGTTCAGTAAAGTACCCCTTCCAGAATCTACGCTGACTGTCTTGGTACAGTTTTGAGGGATTGCAATAGGGGCCATCTTTTGGATGAGATGTTAAAACATCTGGGCTCATCTGTCCTCAGGTGCATACTTCAATCAATGTTTTGCAAAAGATCACAGGATATGCTCCTGTTATCTAGGATACCTGTTGTTACCTACATTACCACAGAGTCTACTCTTCAAAAGTAATTAACTGGCTGTTACATGCTTTGGTTTTTTCTGAGGTTGTGAAAAGTACTACTTAGATGCAAGTTCTCTCTGACAATGCAGCAAAACATGTACGATGCATATTGACCCAGTGCACTGATTGAGCCTTGTGGAGCTGACTGGACCCAGTCTCAAGACCCATCTTGCTACCAAGTGAAGCAGATCTCCATCAGCCTAGAGTGTGCCTCGGATTTCAGTGCAGCAATCTGTGCTGGAGGACTGGGTGTGGAGGGTGAAGATTATTTAACCAAGCCCACCTGCAGAACTCAAAGACCTGTCTGTGAGTGAGAAATGAAAGGGAAAGGAGTCAAACTGTACGGACGATCTTAGGTTAGACTTAGGGAGGAGCTAAATCAGCAATGACCTGCCAATAACACTATTAGAGGATCAATGAACTTTACAGCACGGCCATTCAGTTTATAAGGTCTGCTACTGGCTTTCTGAGAGATTTATCTGCTTGGTCCCCAGTTTCACACCCTTTCTCCTCAGTTTTACATATTTTTCTTTACCAAATGCTTCCTCAATTTCTGCATCCATCTAAGTTTGTTTTCACTGAGAGCTCCTGATTTTAATTACTCCACAACTAGCAGCTGAGCTTGCCTCTTTCCTGGCCCTCAGCTTTGTAAATCCCTCCCTAAACTACTCGACATTTTCTTCCTTTAAGATGTCCCTTAAAACCTACTTCTTGGCATGTTACAAATTTACTCCCAATATTACAAAGGGAATTGAGTTTCAGAGTAAAGATGTCTTACTGCATTCATATAGAGACTGGGTGAGACCATAAGTGGAGAATTGTGTGCAGTTTTGGTCTCCTTACCTACAGAGAGATATACCTGCCACAGAGGGAGTGCAATGAAGGTTCAACAGATTAATTCCTGGGATTGTCCTATGGGGAAAAATTAAATAGACTGGGCCTTTGTTCTCTTGAACAAAAACAAACCAAAGAACTGTGGATTTTATTTTATTCCCTTGTGGGACATGGATGTCGCTGGCTGGCCCAGCATTTTTCATGCCCATCCCTAGTTGCCCCTTGAGAAGGAGGTGCTGAGCTGCCTTCTTGAACAGTCCTCCTGCTGTGGATTGACCCACAATACCATTAGGGAGGGAATTCCAGGATTTTGACCCAGCAAAAGTGAAGGAACGGCGATATATTTCCAAGTCAGGATGGTGAGTGGCTTGGAGGGGACCTTGTAGGGGCTGGTGTTCCCATAAAGCTGTTGCCCTTGTCCTTCTAGATGGAAGTGATCGTGGGTTTGGAAGGTGCTGTCCGAGGATCTTTGGTGAGTTTCTGCAGTGCATCTTGTAGATAGTACACACTGCTGCTACTAAGCATCGGTGGTGGATGGACTGGACGCTTGTGGATGTGGTGCTAATCAAGAGGGCTGCTTTGTCCTGGATGGTGTCAAGCTTCTTGAGTGATGTTGAAGCTGCACCCATCCAGGCAAGTGGGGAGTATTCCATCACACTCCTGACTTGTGCCTTGCAGATGGTGGACAGGCTTTGAGGAGTCAGGAGGTGAGTTACTCACCGCAATATTCCCAGCTTCTGACCTGCTCTTGTAGCCACTGTGTTTATGTGGTGAGTCCAGTTGAGTTTCTGGTCAATGGTAACCCCCAGGATGTTGATAGTGGGGGATTCAGTGATGGTAACACCATTGAATGTCAAGGGGCGGTGATTAGATTGTCTCTTATTGGAGATGGGCATAGCCTGGCTTTTGTGTGGCACAAATTTGGCTGCAAATCAGAACTAAAACCAGAAATTGCTGGAGAAACTCAGCAGGTCTAGCAGCATCTCTGGAGAGAGAGAGTAACAGAGTTAACATTTTGGGCCAGTGGCCCTTCTTTGTTCTCTTGAGTTTAGAAAGAAGTAATCTAAGTCAAACTTAGAAAATTCTCACAGAGCTTGACAGGGTAGATGCAGGAAGGATGTTTCTCCTGGCTGTGGAAGAGGTGGGGCTGGGGATGGGTGAGGGGCAGTGGGGAGATGGTGAGCGGTCTGGAACCAGAGGAAACAATCTCACAATATAAGTAGGCCATTTAGGACTGAGATAAAGAGGGATTTCTTCACTCAGTGATGGTGAATCTCAGGAATTATCTTCCCCAGAGGACTGTGGAGGCTCTGTCATTGACTATGCTCAAGACCAAGATCAATAGATTTCTCGATATATTAAAACATCAAAGAATACAAGGACATTGCAGGAACATGGTGTTAAATGATTAGCCTTGAAGGGCAGAATAGGCTCGAAACTTTGAATGGTTTAATTGTCCTCCTTATGTTCTTCAGCCAAGCTGTTAGCCATCTGCCCTAATATCATCGTCTGTGGATTGGTGTCGATTTCACTGGACAGTGGTCGTCTGGTGTACCACTGTAATATTTTAAGAGGGCTCTATGAATATAAGTTGTTGTTGTAGTTGTTCACATTCTGTCTAACTTCATGCTGTTGGTCCAGAATTTCACATCATAACAACTTTACATAAATAAGAACAAAACATTTCCCAAGCTGACCTTATAGCAGATTGGTAAGCAGCAAGATAAATCTACAATCATTTGTATCTCTATTGCATCTTTAACAGAGTAAGGCATCCCAAGATACTTCACAGAGTGTAAATCAGAAAAAAAAGTCTCTCCCTGTAAATGGTATTTAAGTGAAACATAGAAAATAGGAGCAGGAGTAGGCCATTCGAACTTTCGATCCTGCCCTGCCATTCAATATGATCATGGTTAATCCTCTATCTCAATGCCATAGTCCCACTTTCTCCCCAAAATCCTTGATGCCTTTAATATCTAAAAGAAAATCTATCTCTTCCTTGAATATATTCAGTGGCCTGGCCTTCACAGCCTCCTGGGAGAGAGAATTCCACAGGTTGACCGCCCTCTGAGTGAAGAAATGTTTCCTCATCTCAGTCCTCAATGGTCCACCCCGTATCCCTCTGAGACGGTGTCCCTGGTTCTAGACTGCCCCTGCCTCAAGTCTGTCCAGTCCCGTTAGAGTTTTATATGTTTCAATCAGATCCCCCCTTTTCCTTCTAAACTCTGGTGAATACAGACCCAGTTGTACAAATCTCTTCCTCAAAGGACAGTCCTGCTGTCCCTACTATCAGCAAGAATTTTGTCAATGATTCATCTCTGACCTGCCCAACAACTTTCACCCCCATTCAATCAGTCCTGCTCCAACCATAAGCATAACACTATAAATCTGAAGTAAAACTAGAAAATGGTGTAGACAGTCAGCAGGTGTAGTAATAACTATGTAGAGGGAAACAAAGTTAGTGTTTCAAGTCTGTAACCTTTCCTGCATTCCTTGAATCAAACCTGCTATTATGTGCGGTCTTCCTCTGCTAGTTAGGTACTGCCTACGAATGTCTTGAGGCTCCTAAAAAGTGCTACATAAATACAAATCTATTTTTATTTGTACTAATGCCTGGTCTTTATGTCCATTACCAGATGTTCTGAAGGCCAAAGATTTTAAACCCAGATGCTTGCAGACGACCCTGTCACAAAAGGCTGTCTTTGGGAGCGAGGATTGTCTCTACCTGAACATCTGGGTCCCTCATGGCAGAAAAGGTAAAATTAAAAACTCCAAAATAAAATGCACTTTTAAGCCATACCCAGCTGAGTAATGTCATCACTTGCATCAATTTTAGGAATATGCTTCCCTGTGTTTTTTCCTGTTCCTTTCAAAAATGCATACTTTGTTAAATGTTGTACTTGAAAATACAAATTACACTATTAAGATGAGTTGCCTTTTACAGTTCCTGCTGTTCAGGATGATACTTATCAATTGTCATGTACTGGATTCCATGGTAAGAGTTAAGGACCTTCTACACCATCGCAATATTGTGTCTCTAATCTAGTCATAAATCTCCCACAGTTACTCCTCTCACATTGCAAATTTCTCTCCCCATATTTGAAAAGAGCACATGTATTTTACAACAATTTCTAGGTATCTAGTGGCCTCTCATCAGCTGAATCCCTAAATGTCTCACAAAAAGCTTAATTCTGAAGATTCTGAAGCTATTGTGTCACAACCCCTATTCAACTTCTAGTTTATATCTAACCCTGTGCTGTACCTGTCCCAGGAGTGTTTGATGGGGACAGTAGTAGAAGGAGCTTTACTCTGTATCTAACCCTATGCTGTACCTGTCCTGGGAGTTTTTAATTGGGTGGCAGAGGGGGAGGCAGCGTAGGGGAAACTTTACTCTGTGTATAACCCCAACCTGTCCCTATCCCTTTGATGGGGATTATGTACAGAGGGCTTTACTCTGTATCTAACCCCTGTTGTACTTATCCTGAGAGTATGGATATTGATAGAGGCTTACATAAGACTTGTGTGCCACCAGCATTTCTCATCCTAATGAGCATAAAAGTCAGTGAAAAGATTTTCAGAGTGCAAATAATTTCAACCTTTGAGTTTATTTGCAAACACCAGTGCTTGTAATCTGAATGTTTTTAATTGTCTGTTGTTACATTGGTTTTAATCTGATCATTCCGATTTAATGAATAAACTAAAATTAAAACTGAAAGTGCAGGCAACACACAGCGTGACTGGGAAGATTTGTGGGGAGAGAAACAGAGTTGATGTTTCAGATTGATGAAGTTTTGACTGATAAGATGTCATCATCTTGAATGGTTAACTCTATTTCTGTCTCCACAGATGCTGCCAGACCTGCTGAGCATCTCCAGCCTGTTCTGTTTTTATTTCAGCTTTCTGGCACCTGCGGTATTTTGCTGACAATGTGACAATGAATAAATGATGGTCTCCTTCCTGCCCTCCCTAGTGTCCACTAACCTGCCAGTCATGGTCTGGATCTTTGGAGGAGGCTTCCTGATGGGAGCAGGACATGGAGCCAACTTCCTGAACAACTACCTGTATGATGGGCAGGAGATTGCAACGCGTGGCAAAGTGATTGTTGTCACTTTCAACTATCGGGTTGGCCCACTGGGCTTCCTGAGCACAGGAGATACCAATGCCCCAGGTTAGTGTACAATTCCCTGGATTTAAGGCGAGAGTAAATGGTTTTGATACAATGAATTAATAGAAATTGTGAAGGAAATGACTGAATAAAGGGTACTCAGCCACAGGTGATCGTTGTCATTCTGCTTTTGATTTGCTCTTTAAACCTGCTCGGACACAGCTAATATCATCTTCGATTCTTCAATTAACCAGTGCACTTTGTTAGTGTGCAGGTTGGCCAGCAAGTTCAGAGGATTAAGAGGTATACCATGCATTCTGAATCTTCAGAAATTGCTGGTTGATTTACACTGTTCCATCATTTGCTTTGTGAAGAAATGCATCCGTGCAATATCATTCTCTATGCCAAACTGGGTTCTCTGTGCTCTCTCCCCATCATAATGCAGTCTTTCTGTGTGCTGTGTTATTGATTAGGGCCATTTATTGTCATAAACAGGGAACCAAGGTCTATGGGACCAGCACATGGCCATCACTTGGGTGAAGAGGAATATCGCTGCTTTTGGTGGGGACCCAGATAATATCACCCTCTTTGGAGAATCAGCAGGAGGAGCGAGTGTCTCCTTGCAGGTAACTTGAGTATGAAATGACATGAATGGGTGATGTGGTAAGTTAGTGCAGGCCACATATTCAGTTGTGGTCTCCATTGTTAGTTTGTCTGAAGTGGAGTAGCAGTGAGATTGTTACAATTTAAGTCCAGTGACCCTGTGCTAGAGAGGGGAAATAACATTAGTTAGGATCACTTTACATCATCATTATCCTGGCTGAAATTAATGATAGGATCTGTCATGATCCACATGGTTGAATAGCTAATTGACGTTCACAGCTAAGATTGAAGGCTAATTCACCAAGGTGTGTGACTCCAGACCTGTGGAAATGCGGTTGACTCTAAACGGCGCTGTAAATACAAAAAGGAAAAACTTGCATTTTTAATCATCTGTTTACAACCTGCTGAATCCTTCACCATCGTTGAAATACATGTGAAGTGTAGTCGCAGTTATAATGTAGTAAACACAGCACCCTGTTTCACAAATCCCACAGGCAGCAATAGTATAAAAGTTATGTAGAGTGAAGGTTAAATATTAGCCGGGATATCAGGGGTAACTCCCCTACTTTTCTTCCAAATAGTCCCATGAGATTTTTTGCATCCACTTAAGAGAGCAGTTGTGGGCCTTGGTTTAACGTTTAATCTGAAAGGTGTGCATCTCTGACAGTGCAGCGCTCCCTGTGTCAGCCTACATTTTTACACTCAGGTCCTGGATTGAAACTTGAAAACACAAGCTTGTAGCTTAGATATGAAAATACAATAAACAAGAAATCTCACATTGCTACTGTAACGCTTTAAGGCTGTATTGTAGCTCCTGTGCTATGTCAGAAACACTTAACATGGATCCTGTGTGCACATTGCAAGGACAAACTCCAAATTCTCTTCCAGATTTTAAAAAAACCCCTTCAATTAATGTATTCTACATGCTGAACCAAGTATTATCTTTCTGATGATGTTTCTACTTTCTTTCACAGACTTTGACACCGTACAACAAAGGACTAATAAAGCGAGCTATTTCACAGAGTGGGGTAGCGCTTTGTGGCTGGGCAGTTCAGAGAAATCCCATGCACTGGGCCCAACAGGTCAGTGCAGTTACACAAACAGAGACCACTCAATAAGTCATCCTTCAGTAGTTAAGAATCAAGTAGATACAAATCTGTGAATAATAAGCAGAAGTAGGCCACTCAGCTCCTTGAGCCTGCTCTGCCATTCAGTAAGACCATGGGTGACCTGATTACTCCACATTCCCATCTACATTCCACCTAATTCAGTTTCCTTCTACATGGACCTCTGAGGTCTGTATGTGTCACCGAGTTCCAACAAAGAAGTCAATGTGTCCGTATGCCGTTCAGCCTGCACAGAACCTCTGCAATTGTTTAGCTTAAGGAGCACGCTAATTCCCGCCTATCCACTATAACTTTTCATGTCCTTGTTCATCAAGAGTTTATCTATCTCCGACTTAAAAAGATTGAAGGCGCCCACTTCTGCTGCCTTCTGAGGGAGTTCCAAAGACTCACCACCCTGAGATAAAATGTTTTTACTTATCTCCATCTTAAATGGGTGACCTCTAATTCTAAATTCTAAATTCTCCAAAGAACAGGAAACATCATCTCCATATCCAACCTATCAAGAACCCTGTTTTGATCAAGTTGCCTTTTACTCTTTTAAACTCCAGGAGATTCATGTGCCTTGGAAGCAGTTCAGAGAAAAGTTTACTCGACTTGAAGTCTAGCATGACCATCCTTTTCCCATAAGACAACCCACCTATTGTAGGTAATAGCCAAGTAAACCTTCTCTGAACTGCTTCCAATGCATTTGCATCCTTCCTTTAATAACAAAACCAATGCTGTACAGAGGGATCCAGAAATGAATCTAAATCCACAGTAAATTGATGCAAGTTGATTGAATATTTGCCTCTCCAGATCCAATGTTAAAATATCACATTTGTTTGGTATGGTGAAGGCAAACGTGGCCTTGTGTTTGTGGTTTTCCCAAGGGAGACTCTTGACATGACTGGACTTGGGGAAAAGGGCCTGGTTTCAGACCCTGAGAGCTTCTCAATGAAAGAGGGTAGATATCTGGAGAATCACCCCAGAATTGTTCTTGTGTATCTGTCCTGTCAAGCAGCAGATGGTGTCTGACAACAATCGGCTCCGCAAAAAGAGGTGTCAAACTGGCCAGTGGGTTTGGACAGTGCTGTAAATTGGGAAGGTTTCCATTCATCTTCTCAGACCAAGATCTAAACTTATCCCACACCACAGAGCATGTCATGGTTATGAGTGCTGTAATTGGGTGCCCAACATCACAGAAATTCCAGCACCTCCACACAAAGTGCAAATCTTGCACAACCTCCCCGGATGAATGGTGCTGGAAATGAAAACAACTCACAGGAGTCCACAGCTTCTGAGGTTGTCTCTAAGTTACATTCTCAGCCTGAATGGATGGTGCTGGATGTGGGTCAGTTTGTTGAGGGCAATGGATTTCCCAAGATGACGATATGCTAATGGGAGTGACACTGATTTTGACTGAACGCACTAATGGCCAATCTGATATTTTCCAGCTTGCTCACAAGGTTGGCTGTCCCATAACTGACTCTGCTGTCATGGTGGCCTGTTTGAAGATCACTGACCCCAAAGCTGTCACTCTGGCTATTCCCTTGAAGCTTATAAACTTGGAAGGTAAGATACATGAAAGGATAACGTCAATGTTTCTGTTCCAGAATGTTTGAACATACTTACATAAAAATGATTTGGAAATGCACTCCTTTTTAAGCCTTTGGATCCTAAAAGCAAAATGTTTTCACCACATTCATAAAAGAGTACAGTTTGAGGTGGAAATGAGTTAAACCGGCTGGGTGGTGAAGTTGTTTCTCCCAAGACTGAGATGTAGAAGCAATTCATTAACCTGTCTCAGTAATCGATAAGTACCTGGCACCCACTGAGAGATCCTTGATCCCGAGCACTCTGCACAGGGTGTACGTTCTCCTCAGGCAATTAGAATGGTCACAGATGGGCAGGGTATTTTTAAACGATTTGGAAGCATTCACCAGACACAAAATTAGAATTCATAAATGCAAGTGAAAGTTATTTTGTTCGAGTCAAGCAAGATAGCCCACTGATGTGGGGAAGTGATTCATGTCCAACATTTGAAGAAAAGTTGTATCTGTCAGAATAGGTATACAGACTGTCCCACACTATCTCTCCTAAGCAATATTGTGTGGGTGTGCACAGCCTGTTTGTACACAATCAGTCTGAATCATGAAAATGGAGAACAAGACTGACTTGTTGAAGCTGCTTGAAAATAAGCTGTGAATATACTGAATAAAAATGTGCAACTCGCTATCATGAGATAGTGGAACAACTGCGGTGAATAAAATGGATAAGTATAAATATATACTGAATATGCTGGCCTCATTCTAGCATGTCCAGCCATGTTAAAGGCTCCAGCATGATTTATGTTGAGGGTTCCTAGTGGCCTAAAGAGGTTGGAAAAACAGTGAGATTGATCACTCAATGAGATCTTCCCTTGACCAAACTCAATCTACCCATTATAATTGAACAGCCCCTCAGAATTCCTGCAGTGGAAGAATTGTCTCACTCCTCTGGAAGTTGCCAGTTATGGCAACATTGTCTTCAAATTTCCCTCGGATTAGTTTGATTTATACACTTTAACAGAGCAGGAACAGGACATGTGACCCAACTGGTCTCTGCCATTGTTTAATTCTAAAGAAGCCGTATCTCAATCTACTACATCTCGATCTATCAATGTTGCCATTGATTTCTTACTCATGTATTGATCTAGTTTATCCATTTTATTCACCTCAGTCATTCCACTATCTTAGGATAGCGAGTTGCACATTTTCATTATTCCATAGGTAAAAGATTGCTTTGACCTGTATCCCCTCAACCTGCTTGTCTTCCCCCCTGCTTAGTCAGTCAGTTGTTGTTTGTTTCCACTGACCGGTAAAATGTTCTGAGGTGTTGCTTTGCCTAGGAGAGGGAAAGACAGGATGTGATTAGGTTTCTTCTGACAACCAATGTAGTGCTTTTTGAAACAAGTCAGAAGGACTGGAAACAATGTCTGAAAAATACCAGTTCTCCATTAAGTGCAGAATGTCTTCACTTCATTACTTTGTGCCAAAGACAGAGAGAATGGATTGAATCCTTTTCTTTCCACTCTTACAGCTCCACTTGTGTCCTACCTGATATGGTCTCCAGTCATTGATGGGGACCTCCTTCCTGATGAACCAAGGAACCTCTATCACAATGTTGCTGGTGTCGATTACATCGCTGGGGTTAACAATATGGATGGACATATTTTCGCTGGCTTGGATGTTCATTCAATCAATCAGGCTGGGCTAGGAAAGACCTATCCGTACGGAACATGATTTCTTTAACTGTGTTACTTTTGAATGCTGTTACTGAGACATTTCTTTTCCTTCTGTAGGTACGTTGCATCACAAACAATTATTGCTCAGAATACTCCCAGACTGGCTAGGTTTTGGAGAGAGCTTGTGGATATTGTCCATACCTCTGAGCCAAAAGCTCTGGGTTCAGGTCCCACTCCAAGACTTGATGGCCAGGGGAAGTTATGTTCATCTCATGGCCAAATAGGTTGAGTAGCCGCTTGTAAATCCTTTCGCCATTTGCCAATTGCAGGCATTAAGAGTGAGAGAGACTCCTGTTCACCCATGTGACGGAGAGAAATTGAAACCTACACCGTCACTATCCTTAGCTCCAAACTACAGTACGCATGGAAATGTGCATGTTGCTGAAGGAGCCCAGAATCCTTGGGAAGCTGGTTAGCTCAGTTGGCTGGATTGCTCTACCAACATCCAACATAGACTCATTGGGAACAAAAACAGAAGTTGCTGGAAAAGCTCAGCAGGTCTGGCAGCATCAGTGAAGAAAAAATCAGAGTTAATGTTTTGGGTCCAGTGACCCTTCCTCAGAACCGGACCCGAAATGTTAACTCTTACTTTTTCTTCACAGATGCTGCCAGACCGGCTGAGCTTTGCCAGCAACTTCTGTTTTTGCTCCTGACTTACAGCATCCGCAGTTCTTTCGGTTTTTATAGACTCATTGGGGTCCAATGGCCATATAAACATACAAACAAATTAATTAGAAACAGGAATAGGCCATTTGGCCCCTCAAGCCTGCTCCATCATTTGATAAATTTGAGAATCTCAACTTTGCTGTCCTGTCTACCCCCTGTATTCTTCACCTTCCTTGTTGATTGAATACTTATAAGGCTGAGTTATTTTTAATGACCCAGCCTCCACCATTCTCTAGAGAAGGGAATTCCACAAACCAATGACTCAGAAAAGAAAATTCTCAGCTGTCTTCAATAGGAAACTGGACATGGCTCTGTAAGAAGTTGCTACAGTGAGAAGCTTGGACATGCGTTTACATCCTGGCCCCTTCCAGCTGCCAACTTTGGGCTGTTTCCAGTAAAGAAACAAAGAGAACACAACAGCATCTCTTGGGAGGGGGAAGAGCCATGTCTGGAATGTCATTGTAGTTGGTGATAGTGGTTCACCTGAGACAAACAACAAGGGATAAAATATCAAATTAGTGGAAGTTAAAGACTGGCAGTTAATTGTCAGTCATCACCTAACTGGTGCATTCTCCATGGCAATACCTTTACCAATCAGAATCCACTTGACAACGAATCAACACTCTTCTTTCACACAATATGAATGTTGACCTTTACATTGGTGGATGTTGTGAATTGTTCTGATGAGTGCAAGATGAGAAGCTTCAACAACATGTTTCTTTTTCAACAATACTGCAGTTAAAAATATTAGTTTAAAAGAAAACAAGCACTAACCTGTGTGACATGAAGTTCTTAGACACTAGGTCAAATAAATTTGTTACACACATCTACTGGAACCAAAGAACACAGAGAGGGATCGGTCGGGTGGCTGTAGAAGATGGTGTCGTGGACCACATGCACAATATTTTGAGTAAAAAAACAGGGTGCAGAACATGAACTCTGTTTCTCTCTCCACAAACGCTGCCAGACCCCTACTGAATTTCTCCAAGATTATGTGTTTGTTCCAGAATTTTGATTTTTTTTAATAGAAACCTCTACTATGATTGCTAACACAACTCTAGAAAATGACTAATTTAGTTGCACAGGTTGGGAAGATAAGTACCTGTACAATATTCTTGTGAGCCTGGATGTTTGTTGATATTTGCAGGAGCGACTTGTATAATCTTATTCAAGGTCTGACCATTGACAAAGGTGCAAAAGCTGCCAACTTAACTTATGAACATTACACCAAGGACTGGCCTGCTGATCCCAGTCAAGAGCTCATCAAAAGGACAGTGGTGAACCTGGAGACAGATGTCTTGTTCTTGGTCCCCACACAACTAGCTCTGGATCTTCATTATCAACATGCTCAGTAAGTCAGCTGACAGGCATTGCCATCTAGTATCGCATCTTGTGTGGCCAAGCAAGTTATGAGCCATTTGGTAGGAAGTGGTGCAGTCTAATAATCCCCATATGTGAGGGAGCACAGGATTTACCCATAGCTTTTGTCCCTATAACCAAGCAAAAATTGGATGTGGACTTTGCAGGCAAAGTCAGCATTAGTTGCCCATCCTAGGTTGCACTTGAGCTGAGTGGCTTGCTGGGGCTATTTCAGAAGGCAGTTAAGAGCCAACCACATAGCTATAGGTCTGAGTTACACACAGGTCAGATCAGGTAAGCATGGCAGATGTCATTCATTCAAAGACATTAGTGAACCAGATAGGTTGTTACAACATTTGGCAATGGTTACACAATTGTCATTAGGCTAGCTTTGAATTCAAATTTCACCATCTGCTGTGGTGGAATTCAAACCCATGTTCCCAAGCCCCATTTCTGATGAAGGGTCTAGGCCTGAAACCTCAGCCGTTCTGCTCCTATGATGCTGCTTGACCTGCTGTGTTCATCCAGCCCTGCACCTTGTTGTCTCAGATTCTCCAGCATCTGCAGTTCCTACTATCTCCCCTTCCCAAAACATAAGTCAGGGTGTCTGGATTACTAGATTGGTGACATTTACACTATACCATCATGTGATCCACTGAACACTTTGGTCCAGTAACACCACACTTTTTAAAAATGTTTTTAGGTTACTCTAAATTCTTTTAAAGAGAACGTCCTTGTTTGTTTCTGTCTTGCCTGTGGTCCTTCTGGACCATTCAGCAGAAGACACAAGGTTTGATGAATTCTAGTTCCTCAGCAGTGTTGCTGTATGCACAGCACAGACAAAGCAAGGGCTGTCTCTTCAATATTTTCCTCATTGTCCAAGAAGCATCTGGCCATTGCTGGATGCCTCCCCATAATTTACATCAGAAAATGGGCGATGGGAGTGGTTAAAACTTGTAACCTCCACATCAGTTGTTCATCCAGGGGATGTGAAATCAGTAGATGAAGGAGAGAGGGAGAGGAAGAGGGTTGAGATGAACAAGTTGGAAGGAAGCTTATGTGAAGCATAAACAAGAGCAGAGATAAGGGGGCCAAACGTAGTGTTTCTACATAAATCCTTTGTAATGTTGCATTATTTTTTTCTTTATATCATCATTTTCTCACAGGGGAGCACGGACATTCAGCTACCTGTTTTCTTATCCCTCTCGGGCTCCCATATACCCCAAATGGATGGGAGCTGATCACGCTGACGACCTCCAATACGTCTTTGGAAAACCATTCGCCACTCCGCTCGGGTACCGGCAAAGGGAAAGAGATGTCTCGAGATATATAATCGCCTACTGGACCAACTTTGCTCACACAGGGTAAGAAAGTAGAATAAACAAACAGCTGCACCGTTCTCAGCCTCGGGATGTCCCAAACCACCTGACAGCTGGTGAAGTATTTTTAAAGATTACAACGTAGGAGATGCAGCAGCCAATTTATGCACAGCAAGATCCCAAATACAACACTGTGATAACGACCAGATTGTCTTGATTTGGTGGTAATTGCTACACAGAATTTGAACATTTGAAGTCTCATCAGGATCAGATACAGAAACCAAATTTAGAAAGAGAAGGTGATGGCCTAGCGGTATTATCGCTAGAATATTAATCCAGAGACCCAGGTAATATTCTGGGGACCTGACTTCAAATTTTGTCATGGTAGATGGTGGCATTTGAATTCAATATAATTCTGTAATTAAGAGATCCAGTTGAGAGCATAAATCCAGTGTTGATTATCAGGACAAATGAATGTCCTTTAGGGTAAGAAACTGCCATCCTCACCTGGTCTGGCCTACACGTGACTCCAAATCCACAGCAATGTGGCTGACTCTTCATTGTTTAGCCCTTGGGGCAATAAATTTTGGGCTGGCCAGTGACTCCCACATCCCATGAATAAATGAAGAAGGACTTTAGTTTAATCCACGATGAGAAGAGGGTGCTGACTGCTATGGCTATGGTAGGCGAGGAGATGAAGCAAGAACTATTCATTGTCAAGCTTAGCTCTAGAAGGAGAGATCATAGTTTTAGGATAAGGCTAGCAGATCTAAAACAAGGATGAGGAGGAATTACTTCTCTTGAAGGGTAGTGAATCTGGAATTCACTATCTTAGAGTGCAGTGGATGCTAGGACCCTGAGTAATCTTAAGAAAGAGATACACAGATTTTTAATTAATAATGGCTTGAAGGGTTATGGAGAGTGAGCAGAAAAGTCAAGTTGAGGCCAAGATAAGATCAGCCATGATTGTATTGAATGGCCGAGTAGGCGCGAGGGGCTGAGTAGCCTACTCCTGCTCCAAGCTTTAAGTAGTTACACCGAGCAGGTAGGCTCTAACCAGAATGCATTGCAATGGGAATGCAGCAAAGATTGGCAGTCTTTGTAACTCAGAAAGGTGCACTGGAAGGACAAATTCCATTTGTCTATAAAGAACATCATTGCTGTGTGAATGTATGTGACTTTCAGCATGCACAAGTGAATCCCAATTCTCTGCTTAAATTGCTTAATGGATATTGGTCTGAGACACAGAGGGAAACAACCCTGCTCTTAGCCATGGGATCTTTTACATCCAATTTAGGGGGTAGATGGGGCCTCAATTTACTGTCTAATCCGAAAGACAGTTTCTAAACTGGGAGTGGTAGTTTGGATTGACATGCTCACGTCACAGTGGCATATGTGTACCATCAACAAGGCTTCTTTGATAGCACCTTCCAAACCTGCACCCTTTACAATCGAGAGGGACAAGGGCAGCCGCTGAATGGAAACACTGCTGCCTATAAGTTCTGCCCCTAATTGCACATCATCCTGACTTGGAACTATAGAACATAGAACATAGAACATTACAGCGCAGTACAGGCCCTTTGGCCCTCGATGTTGCGCCGACCTGTGAAACCAATCTGAAGCCCATCTAACCTAAACTATTCCATTATCATCCATATGTTTATCCAATGACCATTTAAATGCCCTTAAAGTTGGCAAGTCTACTACATTTGCAGGCAGGGCAATCCACGCCCTTACTACTCTCTGAGTAAAGAACCTACCTCTGACATCTGTCCTATATCTAAGACCCCTCAATTTAAAACTATGTCCCCTCGTGCTAGCCATCACCATCCAAGGAAAAAGGCTCCCACTGTCCACCCTATCTAATCCTCTGATCATCTTGTATGTCTCTATTAAGTCACCTCTTAACCTTCTTCTCTCTAACGAAAACAGCCTCAAGTCCCTCAGCCTTTACTCATAAGACCTTCCCTCCATACCAGGCAACATCCTGGTAAATCTCCTCTGCACTCTTTCCAATGCTTCCACATCCTTCCTATAATGCGGTGACCAGAACTGTACGCAATACTCCAAGTGCGGCCGCACCAGAGGTTTGTACAGCTGCAACATGACCTCATGGCTCCGAAACTCAATCCCTCTACCAATAAAACCTAACACACCGTACACCTTCTTAACAACGCTATCAACCTGGGTGGCAACTTTCAGTGATCTATGCACATGGACACCGAGATCTCTCTGTTCATCCACACTACCAAGAATCTTAACATTAGCCCAGTACTCTGTATTCCTGTTACTCCTTCCAAAGTGAATCACCTCACACTTTTCCGCATTAAACTCCATTTGCCACCTCTCAGCCCAGCTCTGCAGCTTATCTATGTCCCTCTGTAATCTGCAACATCCTTCTGCACTATCCACAACTCCACCGACTTTGGTGTCATCCGCAAATTTACTAACCCATCCTTCTACGCCCTCATCCAGGTCATTTATAAAAATGACAAACAGCAGTGGCCCCAAAACAGATCCTTGAGGTACACCACTAGTAACTGAACTCCAGGATGAACATTTCCCATCAACCACCACCCTCTGTCTTCTTACAGCTAGCCAATTTCTGATCCAAACCGCTAAATCACCCTCAATCCCATGCCTCCGTATTTTCTGCAATAGCCTACCATGGGGAACCTTATCAAATGCTTTACTGAAATCCATATACACCACATCAACCGCTTTACCCTCATCCACCTGTTTGGTCATCTTCTCAAAAAACTCAATAAGGTTTGTGAGGCACGACCTACCCTTCACAAAACCGTGTTGACTATCCCTAATCAAATTATTCCTTTCTAGATGATTATAAATCCTCTCTCTTATAATCCTTTCCAACACTTTACCCACAACCGAAGTAAGGCTCACTGGTCTATAATTACCAGGGTTGTCTCTACTCCCCTTCTTGAACAAGGGGACAACATTTGCTAGTCTCCAGTCTTCTGGCACTATTCCTGTAGACAATGACGACATAAAGATCAAAGCCAAAGGCTCTGCAATCTCCTCTCTAGCTTCCCAGAGAATCCTAGGATAAATCCCATCCGGCCCAGGGGACTTACCTACTTTCACACCTTCCAGAATTGCTAACACCTCCTCCTTATGAACCTCAATCCCGTCTAGTCTAATAGCCTGTATCTCAGTATTCTCCTCGACTACATTGTCTTTTTCCTGTGTGAATACTGACGAAAAATATTCAATTAGCTCCTCTCCTATCTCTTCGGACTCCACGCACAACTTCCCACTACTGTCCTTGACTGGCCCTAATCTTACTCTAGTCATTCTTTTATTCCTGACATACCTCTAGAAAGCTTTAGGGTTTTCCTTGATCCTACCTGCTAAAGACTTCTCATGTCTCCTCCTGGCTCTTCTTAGCTCTCTCTTTAGGTCCTTCCTGGCTAACTTGTAACTCTCAAGTGCCCTCACTGAGCCTTCACGCCTCATCTCTACATAAGCCTCCTTCTTCCTCTTGACAAGAGATTCAACCTCTTTAGTAAACCACGGTTCCCTCGCTCGACCACTTCCTCCCTGCCTGACAGGTAATTACTTCTCAAGGACACACAGTAGCTGTTCCTTGAACAAGCTCCATATTTCAATTGTGCCCAGTCCCTGCAGTTTCCTTCTCCATCCTATGCATCCTAAATCTTGCCTAATCGCCTCATAATTGCCTTTCCCCCAGCTATAACTCTTGCCCTGTGGTATATACCTATCCCTTTCCATCGCTAAAGTAAACGTAACCGAATTGTGGTCACTATCACCAAAGTGCTCACCTACCTCCAAATCTAACACCTGGCCTGGTTCATTACCCAGTACCAAATCCAATGTGGCCTCGCCTCTTGTTGGCCTATCTACATACTGTGTCAGGAAACCCTCCTGCACACATTGGACAAAAACTGACCCATCTAAAGTACTCGAACTATAGCGTTTCCAGTCAATATTTGGAAAGTTAAAGTCCCCCATAACAACTACCCTGTTACTTTCGCTCCTTTCCTGAATCTTCTTTGCAATCTTTTCCTCTACATCTCTGGAACTTTTCGGAGGCCTATAGAAAACTCCCAACAGGATGACCTCTCCTTTCCTGTTTCTAACCTCAGCCCATACTACCTCAGTAGACAAGTCCTCATCAAACGTCCTTTCTGCCACTGTAATACTGTCCTTGACTAACAATGCCACACCTCCCCCTCTTTTACCACTTTCCCTGATCTTACTGAAACATCTAAACCCCGGAACCTGCAACAACCATTCCTGTCTCTGCTCTATCCATGTCTCCGAAATGGCCACAACATCGAAGTCCCTGGTACCAACCCATGCTGCAAGTTCACCCACCTTATTCCGGATGCTCCTGGCGTTGAAGTAGACACACTTCAAACCACCTTCCTGCCTGACGGTACACTCCTGCAATTTTGGTTCCTTCCCTGTTGCTGGGTCAAATACCTGGAACTTTCCCAATAACACTGTTGGCACATCCACACCATATAGTCTACATCATTTCAAGGCAGAGGCACACTATCACCTTCAAGGACAGCAAGTGCTGGCATTCCCAACAATGCTCACAGCTCACGGAATATTTTTATTTTAAAATGGTGTCCTCTTGTTTCTAGTCCTTGTTTTAAAAGTCTTGTCTGATACACCATTGACAGTAGTGAGGATAGGTGCCAGGCATCCAGTCACTGACCATTGAAAACTTGATGGGGCCAGTCCAAGAAGACTCTCCTTCCTGGTTTGAGTCTCAGTTTGTCCAAATTGCTTTTTCTTTAGCTGGAGTCAGAAGGTTGTGGCTCCAAGACTTCAGTGAACACATCAATTACAGTATGGAAGGAAAGCTGTACTTTTGGATTTGTCTTCAGATCTAACATTTAATGCCAACTAAAGCACTGGAACAAGGTTATAAAATTTGTACCTTCATTTTGCCACCAAATAAAGGGCATTCCTATATCCAATACTCCATCCTCCACCACGAACAGTAAGTGTGGGATCTTACTGTTCCCAGAATGGCAAGTGCACATGCCCACACAACTGTATAAAACAATCTCTGCTTTAGAGCTGCAGCAAGGTGCTGTATAAATACAAAGCAATTCAAAGAGAACATAACCAGCAATGACTGATTCTGTTTTCTCTTGCAGTGATCCTAATAGGGGCGGCTTGGACGTACCCACCCCTTGGATCCCTTACACATCCATGTACACCCAATATCTGGACATTAACAAGGACATTGACATGAGCTCTGTAAAGCAAAGGCTTCGCTATAATACGGTCAACTTCTGGAACCAGACCTATACTGCTATATAGCAGTGACACCTTAACACCTTAAGGTTTAATCTGCATGTTACTCTGAAATAAACCTTTAAAGTGTGCTGTTCTTGTGGATGTTTACCTTGGCCTGTTTGGTTGAGTTGAGTTGACTGCCTTCATGATGGAATTGGTGTTAACATAGGCGTGGAATCAGAGTTTTCGTTTCTTTACTCTCATGGTCCCCATTATGGAGACTAGCTTCCAATTCTAGATTTTATTGGCTGAACCTAAATTGCACGAGCTATTGTGGTGGGCTTTGAAACCATGTCCTGGGCCTCTGGATTACTAATCCAGTCATAATACCACTACGCCAACATCTGTCCACAATACGGGATGTTCAATATCCTTTTCAAACCTTAGTCGAGCAAATAAAATTCCACAAGCTGTAATAGTGACACTTAAACCTGTGGCCTCTGGATTAGTAGTCAAATGACATTACCACTATCTCATGTTACACCCCGAAAGTGCGGTCTTGCTGGTTTTGCCTAGAGTCAGACTCCATATAACCCCCACCCCAACGCTGAAATTAGTCTCAATGACCAAGCAGCCAAGGAAATTCCTGATGGATCAGTTGAAATCTCCAGGGATCCAAGGTGTGCATTAAAACAAGGGGCTGTATTGAGGGCTGACATTAATAGAAGCGGATTCAGTATACACAATTTAAAACCATACTTACACCTAGAGATAGGACACCCCTTCAGAACTCCTAAACCTAGAACCAGGAACTTTGAAAGTCCAATATCAGGGACCTGACCCCATTCTCTTTATCCTTGTATTTCTTAACTGTAGTTTCAGCGACTGCCTCTAAATCAGAATAAATATGTTAGTTTCAGCAGTTGGGCATCTGTGCAAAATAATGAGTGCAGAAAATGAAACATGTGCCTGCTAAGGATCCATGAAAATTAAAGATGATCAGCATGTCTAGCTGTAACAGTACTGGGAGTCTTCAGAGTAGCACATTTTCATTGGCTGCTCTCAAAGTTTCTTAGTTGAAGGATTAATAATCCCAAACCCCCAAATTAAATTCTACTGTATAAAACCTCAATGAGTGCATTGAACATAAAGTGTTTTAATAATCATTAAGTTACTTACAGAGGTCTGCAAAACGTGTGCACCAGCTTCTCATACCACTTAACAAAAGAGTTTTAAAAATAAATCTTTATTCAACACATAAATGGCATAATTAATCAATAACACATCTTTCAAAATGAGGGGTTACCTATTTAAGCCAGGGATGCAGAGAATTATTTTCTGACAGAAGGTCGCAAGTTGTTAGAACTCTTCCTCAAAAGGTAGTGGAAGCAGAGTCCTTGAATATTTTTAAGTTAGAGAAAATGAAAGATTATTGGTAGTAATGTGGATTAATCAGAGCCATGAATTTATTGATGGCAGAGTAGGCTCGAGAGGCCAAGGTCTTACTCCTGCTCTTAATTCTTAAGTCAATAACCAGCCTACGCATCTGAATTGTAACACTGTGTGATGATTCCAAGAAAAGTACTGAGGAATAGTTCTGGCCAAACATCCAGACGGGCTGCAATCAGCAATCATGTTTGATGTGTTACCCCATTCAATGTAGGCCTATCTGAAAACCAGTGAAGTGATATTTGTGTCAGACTGAAGCCAGCAATATCCATCATTTACTCATGTCCTCATCAAATTGATGCATTGCTTGAGGATGAATCAAGTTATGGTTAAATCTTCACCACACTTTCACTGTTGGAAAGCACATGTTGCAGGAATACACCGCAGAATCTCAACAAATGCACTCTCCCACTGCATCACAAACCAGGGTTGGATCTGCAATCAGGCTCTGGTGTCAGCCGGGAACATGAATGTTGGTCCTTCACGACATTAACAGATTGCAGAGGTGGCTCACGGCAAAATATTTACACTTTCAACTTGTTGAAGCAGAATTTCTAACTGCCATGTCAATTTTTGGTCGCAACGCAGAGAGGGTAATGAGAATAGCTTCCTGGAAGAAGACAAAAACACCAACCACTGTAAACCGCAACCACCAAAAGAATAAGTCTTTTACCAAAATATATTCTTTCATGAGATGTCGGTGCCGCAGGCAAGGCCAACATTTGTTACTCATCACCAATTGCCTTGAAACTGAGTGGCTTGCACAGTCATTTCAGACAGCCATTGATAACTCAACCACATCACTGTGGTCCAGAAGCAAACAAAGTCCAGACCAAGTAAGGATGGCAGATTTCCTTCCCTTAAAGATGTGAGTGAACTAGATGTGTTTTTTATAACAATTGATGATGATAATGGTGACCTGAAACTGAGATGTTTTACGCACTAGCTGCTGTGGGGGTATTTGAACTCATGTCTCTAGAGTTTAAAATCAGGTCTCTGGATTATAAATTTAGTGGTATTACCACGACGTCACCATCCTCCTTGACCAAGGGGAGATGCTGGTCTGAGTGAAGGGAACAATGGGCTCTTTCCTACAGGAAAAATTGGTGAGATTCAACCTAATCAGGTCCTCAACTGTGGATCATCAGAGATTCTTTCAATTGAAAATCAATGGAACAAGTTAAATCATCAAGATTCTAAAGTGTCTATTATCTGATCAGTACAATCCGCTCAGTAAATACTAGTTTTGAAGAAGGGTCACTGGACCTGAAACGTTGACTCTGCTTTCTCTCCACAGATGCCAGCAAACTGGCTGAGTTTCTCCAGCATTTTCTGCTCTTATTTAAAAACAAAATCATACCTTTTATGAAGTCACAATGTTTACAACACTATAAATTCACACATTTACCTGAATTTCAGAGGCAAAAATTGTTCATGGAAGCACCAAATCGGCCCAGCAACCAACAGAATCAAGATAAATACCAGAGTTTGTATTTAAGGTCTGTGTGGCTGTTCTTCTATGAAATTAGTTTTTCAGTCGCAATCTAACAGGTTCTCATGAGGAGATTTGACAGGGGATTCTGACTGTCATACCCATACCACAACCATAGCCAAATGGACAATAAGACACCAGCCTAAGAAACCTAAATAAATGGAAAAATTTTGCAGATGCTGGAAGTCTTGAACACATGCTGGAGAAACTTCAGACTGAACAAGAGTTATAACAGATTTGAAACATTAACTTTGTTCTTTTCTCTCCACAGATGCTGCCAGATCTGCTGAGATTCTCCAATGTTCTCTGTGTTTAGTAAATCTAAATGCCTATTTCTGCAATGTATTACTGCAGGAGGCAACTGTCAAACAGCACTCCAAGGTACACAGTGCTGTCTTTTGCATAATTGTTCACATCTATAATGAGGAAAGAAAGAACATAAGAGGATTACATGAATGATTATTGCAGTGTGCTGACCAAGATGCAAGAATCAGGTTTGAATTCAATCAGTGATTCGGGGCGTCTCCAAAGCACTATAAGTCACAGAAAAATACAAGAGTAAACTGTACCAAATGTATTAAAGCCCAGTAATTTCACAATGCAAATATGACTGTCATGTTGATAGATACTGTGAAGTACTATACAGTCATAGAAATTGCTAGGAAAGTTCAGCAGGTCTGGCAACATCTGTGAAGTAAAAATCAGAGTTAATGTTTCGGGTCCGGTTCTAAGGAAGGGTCACCGGACCCAAAACGTTAACTCTGATTTTTTCTAGATGCTGCCAGACCTGCTGAGCTTTTCCAGCAACTTCTGTTTTTGTTCCTGATTTACAGCATCCACAGTTCTTTTGGTTTTTACTTTACAGCCACGTCTGGCCCATCGTACTTATGAGTACATAAGGCTTGAAGGAAGGGAAAGGCTTCTGGGAAAGTTGTCGCTTTGGCTGCTGGGTCAATGGCCTTCAAATCTGAAAGCCTGCACCTCCTTACGTGTGTTTATGTACTAATCAGAGATTTAGGACAAAACATTGTCTTTGTTACATACCTCAGTGCGGATGGTACGGCTGCCCTGACCAGGGCAGGTGTTCAGATAGTGGTGAAAAAGGACGCTGGGATCTGTAAAACTAAGGTTTTCATCAACATCTACACTGGCCTCAAGTCCCTGAAGACCACCAAACACCACCAACAAATTCCTGAAGCAGGAAGGAAAAAAGATTACGGCATTTTATTCATTTTGCACATGCTGTGAAAGAAGTGTGGGAAGAGGCAATAACTCGGTGTTACTAAATTACTGATGGTGAAAGTGAGCAACCCTTCAAAAACTCACACTATTATAACAATTACTGCAATTTAACAGAAAACATTAACCAGCAGCTCACTGGGCTGGTATTGAATTTCACTGGACATAGCTACATTTATTTTATGCACAAGATTGGAAGAGAAGAAATGGAAACAGAAATTCTAGAATGGGTGCCATTTAACAGTAAATCATATTTATGTGACACCTTTAACATTGCCAAACATCGCAATATATTTCATAGGAAAGTTGCTCACTAAAGGTTTTACAATGAATTACAATAGGAGATATTAGGAAGATGACCAAAGTCTTGGTCAAACGGGTTTTAAGGAGCATTAGAAGGAAGAGAGAGCAGACAAGTTTAGGGAGACACTGAAGGGTAGGAACAGAACTCCACAATTTGGCACCGAGATGGTTGAAGACAAAGCCACTTAAGGGGAATGGCAAAAATTCAATGGGGCACAAAAGGCCAAAACTAAAAGAACACAGCAATCTCAGAGGGTTGTCAGGTCTGGGGTGGTTGCAAAGGTAGGGAGGAGAGACCATGGACAAACTTGGACACAAGAATGAGAATTGTAAATTTAAGGTACTGTAGCTTGGAAAAGAGATGAAAAGAGAATGAAAAAGTTCTTCACTCAAAGGGGTCTGCAGAATTTGTCACCACAAAAAGCAGTCAAGGCCAAAACATTGTATGATTTCAAGGTGGAGTTGGATATAGCATTTAGGGCTAATGAGATCAAAGGATATGGTGGAAAAGTGGGAACAGGTCATTTGTATGTTTCTGTATTTTGTCTGTGCCAAGATTTACAAGCATCCTCAGGCCGAATGGGTGGACTGTGATCTCCACCCTGAAAACAATGTAGTGATGTAAGGAGTTTAACAGAAGACTATGAACTGTTTTAGAATGGAAATAGAAATCTTCCTGAAATATGGAGGTTACCCAGTTTTATAAACGATGAACAAACCTCCAACAGCATTACTCACAATGAAGATGTAACTTGTCTATAAGGATGTAAGGACCATACCAACAAAGCACAAAGCATACTGCTGCAGTTGGTTGGCAATAGGATGAAGGAAGGTCAAAAAGGTTGGGCCAATACCCATTTTCATTTAGAAGAATGAAGGATGATATTATTGAAACTTACAAGTTTCTGAGGGCTTGACAGAGTGGGTGCTGAAACGATGTTTTCTCTTGTGGGGAAGAAAAGACCTAGGGGACACAATTTTAAGCACAAGAGAGCTGGCTTTCAAAAGAGATCAGGTTAATTTTCTCTCCACTCAGGGGTATTAGCCTGGAATTCATTTTCTCAGAAAATAGTGGAAGCTAGGTCACTGAATTTATTCAGAACCATGTTAGATAGCTTTTTGACTGTTGCAAAATTCAAGGGCTATGGGGTAAACAAGGAAGTAAAGTTGAGCCTAGAATCAGATTAGTATCTTATCTAACAGAGAGCTTCTTGAGGGGCTGAATGGCCTACTCCGACTCCTAGGTCTGGGCTCTTAAGGCGGCTTGTACTCATTTTTTAATTAATTTGTAAGTAGAAACTATTTTGGATTGGAAGTGATTGCAGTCTTAAAAAGAGGAAGCTAGTAGCACAGCCTATAGAGGCTGAGGAACTGAGAGAATTTAATTGTTATCACATCAAATTGGGAAGGTTCAGTCAGTTTTGGATATCAGCAATTGGTTTTTCTCTAAACAATGTGAGGCATCAGGAGTGTGATGAACGGGTTGATAAGATGCTTATCACAACGCATCTCAGAGAACATTTATAGAGTCATACAGCCCGGAAACAGACCCTTTGGTCCAACTCGTCCATGCTGACCAAGTTTCCCAAACTAAAACTAGTCACACTTGCTTGTGTTTGGCCCATATCCCTCTAAACCTTTCCTATTCATGTACCTGTCCAAACATCTTTTAAATGTTTTAATTCTACCTGCATTCTACCACTTCCTCTGGCAGTTCATTCCACATATAAACCACTCTTTTAAATCTTTTATAATACCTTGCATTTGTACCAACTAAACTCCACTGGCCACTCCTCAGCCCAGTGACCTAATTGGTCAAGATCTCTTTGTAATTTTAAATAACTTTCTTCACTGTCAACTATTGCAACAATTTTGGTGTCATCCGCAACCTTACTAACCATGCCTCCTAAACTGTCATCTAAATCATCTGTATAAATGACAAAAACTGTGGACCCAGCACCGATCTAAGCAGAACACCACCGATTATAGGCCTCCAATCCGAAAAGCATCCCTCCACCACCAGCCTGTCTCCTACCATCAAGCCAATTTTATATACAATTAGCAAGCTCTCCCTGAATCCCATGTGATCTGACTTTACTAACCAGTCTACCATGCGGAACCTTGTCAAAGGCTTTACTGAAGTCCATGCAGGCAACGACTACTGCTCTGCCCTCATTTATCTTTTTGGTCACATCCTCAGAAAACTCAATCAAATTTGTGAGATACAATTTCCAACACATAAAGCCATACTGACTGTCCCTTATCAGTCCTTGCCTCTTCAAATGCGTGTAAATCCTAAGTCTCAGAATCCCCTCCAACAGCTTAGCCACTATTGATGCAAGACTCACCAGCCTATAGTTCTTTAGTTTTAATGGGGATGGGGGATCTAGTCAAGGAAAAAGCACAACTAATGGAACTGAGAAAGTTTGTTTTCTGTTCTACCGAGTTTAAATTAATGATAACAAAAACATGATCACAAAGTGACTTTCTTCAGTAACTGGTAATTAGTTTGGGCATGACCGGTGATCAAGAAGCTCACTGAAAAATCTCTATCTCTAACTGAATATGTGTAAAGCTCAAGAGGTAATTGAGATTATAAAGCAATTATCTTCAGAGAAGCGACACTGAAGATAAGCCTTACTTGAATGTTGGAAGTGTAACATTGTCAACATTTGACCCTCGTTCAGATGTGCCAATTGAGAGATCGTAGCCATCCTTGAATGGGCACTCTGTGAACACAGCACCTGCAATACACAGACAGTAAGGTTTAAGTTTGAAAACTGATTTTTAATACCCCCATTTAAACTTTACCCTAATCTTTTAATTGAAGTTGTGCTACAATAGCCAGAGGATGATTTGGAACTCACTGAGGCATGAAGCAAGTCGCACTGTGTAACCCCAGTACAGGCCAGATACTGTCCGTGGAGCATGTGGTGGGACAACTGTACCCTTCAATGCTTTACTCTCTGAAAGGACAAAACATAGTAGGATTATGGGCGGTGTTAGTGGCACTTCGTTTTGCTGAAGACTAGCGAAGCGAGGCAAAGGGATACACTTTAGGTTACCGGTAGAACCTAATTTTATTCAATTGCAGAAATGTTGGCACTGGCAAACTCAAAAAGTTTAACAGTTTCCAGGAAATCAAAACTGAACAAATTCTCTCAGAGCAGATAAATAATTGAACTTCAGCTGAATGGTCTCATTTTGCACCAAATCTAAAATAAACCAATGGTAAATGGATTTAACATAAGATTAGGAGGTCAATCTATCCCTCCAAACTGTTCCATTATTTTATGAGATGATGGCTGACTGTATCTCAATCCTGTCCACCTGCCTTCTTTTTCTTTATTCTTGCATGGGAAGAGGGTAATACTGGCAGGCCAGCATTTGTTGTCCAGCCCTAAGTGCCCTTGAACTAGATGGCATTTCAGGAGGCAGTTAAGTGAAAACCACATAGATAAGGCATGTAGGCCAGACCAAGTGTGAAAGCAGATTTCCTTCCTACAAGGGCAGTGGTGGAAGTCAGATGGGTTGTTACAACAATTGATGATAGTCTCACAGTCACCTAGCTGCTGTGATGTGAATCTATGTCCTCTGCAGTATTAGCCTGTACCCCTGGCTTAACCGTCCAGCGACATTACCACTCTCTCCTCCCAACATGGAGCTTTCGCATCCTTTTCAAATCCTTGTCTAGCAAAAAGTTATCAACCTTGGATTTAAAATCATTAACTGAACCAGCATCTACTGTTTTTTGGAGGATTCCATTTCATCCGTCTAGCCTCCCCCCACTACCCCAATGCCTTAGGAGAGAAAGTACTTCCTAGTTTCTCTCCTGAATGGCCTTCTCTGCTTTTAAGGTCATATCCCATTATCCTGTCCTCTCATCAGCAGAAAGTAATTTTCTCTATCTTATCGACTCCTTTCAAAATCCCAGAAACCCCGAATCAACCTCGATATTCTAGAGGTGACATATTTACTTCATGTAATCTCTCTTCATGATTGAATCTTTGGAGCACCTTTCATATTGTTGTAGAAAAATCTCCTCTCCATTATATTCTGGCTTTCTCATTATGTAAACAAAAAATCCATTCCCTTGCAGACTTGTGACCATTACCATCCAGAAATACGAGGGCAGCAGATATACGGAAACACCACCGCCTAACTGCAAGTTCTCCTCCAAGACACAGATCATCCGGAATTGCCACTCCTTCCTTATTGGTTGGTTTCATTCCTGAAACTCCCCTCCAATCATCACTTTGGGTTACCTACGCCCCGAGGGGTGTAATGGTTCAAGGAGGCAATCCAGCCGCATTTTCTCTAAGGCAATTAGGTATGGGAAACAAATAGTGGCCTCAAATCGTTCTCAAATCCCAAAAAAAGCTTAAGACTCCTCTTTGTGATTCCTTCTTGCACCTCACTACAATTTAATGGTCTGGGAAAGACTAGAGTGATTCCTCTGCTACTGCAGATCCCTATAGAGATCAAACTCCACAAAAATCAGACTCTTCCCATCATTACTTTAGAAACTATTTTCACGTTATAACAACCAGGAACTGAAATAATGGATTCTGATCTGTTATTTTACCTGGGTTTTCATTCTTGTGCAGTCGGACTGTAACCCGTAAACCAGGTTGAAGCTGTCGGTCAATCTGTACATCCTAATTTCAAATAATAAAATAAAAGTGAGTAACAAAAGGGAGGTGGAAGAGTTGCACTTAGTAAAATGTATGAAAGAGAGAGAACGATTTGTAGGGTAGATGGAGTCGGATAAATTTGACAGCCCATTCAATGGGCACATGGAGCTAAGTGACACTGTTATAATTCTATAATAGCATGAGCTTTCATAGAACGATAGAACTGCGACTGATTTACATTCAGATCAGGAACACACACAACTCTCCTATCAATCACACCCTGACAGCATGCTAGACATATGCTGTGGGTGAGAACTAAAAAGCAAGCAACAAAGTTTTTGCTGAAAGTTTTTCAAGAATTCAAATTCCAAGCCTGCCTTTGTAACAGGCCTGGATTGTTCTGCACAAACCTTTCTCATGCCACAGTTTACAAATGATCCTTTCTGGGGTTTACGGGGCCGTTCAACTACCACTCCCTCACGGTACTCAGATTTCTCATCTATCCTCATGTGGTGTGGACTGTCCAGTGGATTCAGGAGGCCTAGAACACAGCACAAAGACAGGCCATTCAGCCCAGCGGGTTTATGCAACATAACACTCTTCATCTTAACCCAATCAACATGTCCTTCTGTCCTTCATGCTCTTGTCTAGCCTCCCCCTCAGAACGCATCTATGATATTTGTCCTGAACAGTCCCTGTGGTAACAAGTTCACATTCTGACCACTCTCTACGTAAAGAGATTTCTCCCAAATTCCATGTTGAGTATATTAATGATGTACGGAGTACCCTCTGAATTCAGAGACTGTACCAAAGCACTTCTGTTGTTACACAGGCAATGTGACAAGTCAATTTGCAAACAGCAAAGTTACCCAAACAGCAAAGAGATAAAAGACCAACTAAGCTGGCTTTGAGAACACTGCATTGACCAATGTTCCACAGCACTTGGATGGACCAAGTACAGCAACTGGGTGCAGACACAGCGATATCTGACTCCGGAAGTCACTGCCATATATAGACGTTGGGAGGTCCGCACAGTGACAGGAATAATAGAGGGAATGTAAATCAGAGCATGGGTAGAACTCCATTCCTCTTGGAACAGTGCCATGGGATCTTATACTTCCACCTGAGGGGGCATCTGATTTAAAAGACACACCTCGATGGTGCAGCACTCCCTCAGACCTACAATGAAACATCATCCTGGATTATATGCTCAAACTCTGGTGTCGGGATTGAGCTGACAATGTTTTAATTCAGAGGAGAACATTAATAGCAAGCCAAAGCTGATACAGTAATTATTACTAATTAACTGTTCCAACATAGCAACATCCCTTAAACACACCCTTTGGCAAAAAGACAAATTCAGAAAAACAGATTTTGTCTCACATGCAACCTAGGTACAGAACTTTCGGCTGTATTAGAGAGACAGGGAAAAATACCTTCCATTTCTTCAAGCCCACTACAGCAACTGCTGAATCTCAAAGCTAAAATAAACTAAGAACGAGAAATCCTGGGCTGAGAGAGCTGGCCACACCCATCCACGCTGCTTCTATTGGTTCAACACTAAAACAAAACCCAAGGTCTCACAAGCTGATTACCCTAGTGGCTCTGGTAGACTGGTTGGCACCTCTGCCTTCTCAAAAACAAAAACAAGACAAAATACACCTCTTAAAGCCATAGCATGTTCACAGTAGGAAGATGTAGCAACAGCAGAGAAAACTAATCTTTCACTTTACATTCCTGCAGCCATGGGTTCAAGTCAATCTATACTCTAATTGCTACTTGTATGTTATGCTTTTAACTATCTCCATTCACTTCATGTAAAGCAAGGCATCCAAGTTCAGACAGAGATACTTGATCAGAAACAGGACAGATCTGTGCCTCTTAACCCTCCAGTTGCACAGCTTGGTCACTGCTACTCATCTTAACAATAAACCTCACAGTTAAGCAGAAAGACACAGCTCTGACATTCAGCTCTGTCATTAGGTGCTGGTAGAGGAACAAAACAAATGTCAACCAGTTACAAAAATTCAGTGCCATCTAAAGTACAATTATGAATAGCTCCGTTGAGGTCGAATTAAACAGCACTGAAAAAGGCTGGTGCACCCATTCCATGCATGTGTTGGTTCTCCGAGAAAGCTATCCAATTAGCTCCACTCTCCAGTTTCCCACAGCCCTATAAATCCTTTCCTTCAAAAATTTATCCAATTTCCTTCTTGTAAATTAATAATGCATCTGCCTCCACTGGCCCGTAATGTCAGGTCACTGTGTTAAAGAATGTTATTGCACATCACATTGTTTATGACAATCACTTTAAACATTAGTCAGAACAACAAATGTTTTGAAGTCCATAAGTCTCAAGTTATTTGTGTGTCTAGTTTTCCAGACCAGCTTACCTGCAAACTGCAGATCCTGATGTTTTGGAAAGAAGGATTTCCTTAGGTACCTGGTTACATACAATGGAAAGATCACTCTGCAGTTGAGTCTTAATCATAGAGATGCTGAAAATTATCAACTTTATTAGAAATCAGCTCTCGGGTTTTTTAAAAAATATAACCAAACTAGCGGTTCTGTGTATTTTGCAAGTAAATCAAACTAGCAGCAACACAAGCTAAGCAGCAACACTGGAATAAGACTGGATTCTCCAAACGTGCACTCCTAGTACAGTGTTTTACCCAATGGGAACCCATGTTAAGTTCACTAAATGGCAAAGAAAGGTTGGTTTTTGACAGTGAGCAAGGTGCTACGACAGGGGGATCCACTAAGAAAAATGGTCCTAATGCCATATGAAGAACAGGATTTGGACAGTCATTTCTTTGAACACTTTTCAGGCAACTCCAAGCAGCTGTCTGGGCCCCTGGCTCTGGAAATGCTTCTTTAGTATTAGTATTCCCTAAAGATCTAGATGTCAGAATGGCAGTGCTGCAATCGAGCTCCTGGGCTCATTCGGTTCAGTCTGCTTTTCTCTTATTTCTTTCTTTTTGCTTTTTCTTCTTTTTTCCCCTTTTTCTTTAAAGTCTTTTGCTTTGGTGAGGCACTGGTTATGGGCCCTACCTGAGCGTGTTACAGGACCCAGTTGTGGTACCGGTAGCATCAGTGGCAGCAAACACGCAGCTCCTCCCGAGACTCCAGGCCCAGGTGTTTACCTGGAAATAAGACTTTAATATCTGGACAGTTCTCATACTTTTTGGCTTTGTTTCCTTTATTTCTGTTGTTTTTTTTTTAAATTCCAGTTTTGTAATCAGGTGCATAACCAAGAAGGCATCAGAGAAATTCAACTTTGTACTTTTCACTGTACTCCTGCATTCCTGTACCTGAGTATACGTGTCAATAAAATCAATTCTAATTCTTAAATATCTGTCTCTCTACATCCTTTCAGACTCTTCATCCCCGTATAGCTCCTCCTCCAGCTGTATTAGTTACTACCTGATTCAGCTTCTAAGAAGTGTGCGGTATTGATTTGCAACATGACTAACTATTTGGATACAGAACTAGCTCAAAGGTAGAAGACACAGGGCGGTGGTGGAGAGCTGCTTTTCAGACTGGAGGCCTGTGACCAGCGGTGTGCCACAAGGATCAGTGCTGGGTCCACTGCTTTTCATCATTGATATAAATGATTTGGATGTGAACACAGGAGATATGGTTAGTATGTTTGCAGATGACACTAAAATTGGAGGTGTAGCGGACAGCGAAGGTCACCTCACAGTACAACAGGATCTTGATCAGATGGGCGAATGGGCCAAGGAGTGGCAGATGGAGTTTAATTTAGATAAATGTGAGGTGCTTCATCTTGGAAAGGCAAATCAGGGCAGGACTTATACACTTAATGGTAAGGTCTTGGGGAGTGTTACTGAACAAAGAGACCTTGGGGTGCAGGTTCATAGTTCCTTGAAAGTGGAGTCCCAGGTAGGTAGGATACTGAAGAAGGTATTAGGTATGTTTGCCTTCATTGGTTAGTGAATTAAGGATAGGAGTTGGGAGGTCATATTGTGGCTGTACAGGACATTGGTTTGGCCACTTTTGGGGTATAACGTGCAATTCTGGTCTCCCTGCTATAGAAAGGATGTTGTGAAACTAGACAGGGTTCAGAAAAGATTTACAAGGATGATGTCAGGGTTGGAAGGTTTGAGCTGTAGGGAGAGGCTGCATAGACTGGGGCTTTTTTTTTTGGAGAGTTTGAGGGGTGACCTTATAGAGGTTCATAAAATCACAAGGGGCATTGATAGGGTAAATAAGCAAGGTCTTTTCCCCAGGTGGGGGGAATCTAAAAGACAATGTAGTCGAGGAGAATACTGAGATACAAGCTATTAGACTAGACGGGATTGAGGTTCATAAGGAGGAGGTGTTAGCAATTCTGGAAGGTGTGAAAATAGATAAGTCCCCTGGGCCGGATGGGATTTATCCTAGGATTCTCTGGGAAGCTAGAGAGGAGATTGCAGAGCCTTTGGCTTTGATCTTTATGTCGTCATTGTCTTCAGGAATAGTGCCAGAAGACTGGAGACTAGCAAATGTTGTCCCCTTGTTCAAGAAGGGGAGTAGAGACAACCCTGGTAATTATAGACCAGTGAGCCTTACTTCGGTTGTGGGTAAAGTGTTGGAAAGGATTATAAGAGAGAGGATTTATAATCATCTAGAAAGGAATAATTTGATTAGGGATAGTCAACACGGTTT